TACTTTGTCTAATTGCTCTATGTCGTTTACCTTGTAAATCACAAGCCAAAATGCCCCAAGTATATGCTAACCTTTGTGTTCTTGGCTGGATAGCTGTTTCTTGCCCATTGCTGGTGTGTCCCCGGCCATCTTCACTGTGTGCTGGTTCAATTCTCTCCGACAATAAAAATCTCAAAATGGAATCGTGTGCGAACTTTCACCAATTTCGTACTGGGTTCTTAAACATACAAATAGCATGACACCAAAAGCATAGTAATCTGCTTTTCGCAAGACAGGGCAACCCCTAAGTACCCCTAAGTACCTCTAAATTTAGTCATAACTGCAGGTACACTTTGTCTATCTTACCTTCCCTCCATTAATTCAAACAGCATGACACCAAAAGCATAGTAGTCTGCTTTCCGCAAGGCGGGGCAACCCCTAAGTACCTCTGCAATCTCAAAAATCCTGGTTATTTCCGCATGAAATGACACAAAAATACAACTATCAGTAGACAGGGCTGCCATCTCAGCTTGAAATTATAAGTAGTATCTAGCTGGGATGTTGGTATGAGGCTTCTGCAAAAAGAATGGGCATTTCACTTCTAGGGCTGCAGCCGGAACTTCATTTTCTTTAAAGAAACCATCTGGCAATACCACCATTGGCACAGACCCCATTGTCAGAGGGACTCCCCCAACCTCATACAGTTTCCATGTTGGATGGAATGCAGAGATAAACTTGGTACAGACAGTTGCAATTGCACAGTCCTCCTGCAAACACACCATGCTCCATTGCTCTCTGTACATTCTTCAGTGGGTTTCTCAAGACTATCTCCAATATCTCTGACATTGCATTGCAATACAGAAAAAAGAGAATAACCAGTACAAATATTGTCATCCTTAATTCATGTTCCAAAGTCAAATTTCCCAGCTTCTAGAAGAGTCACCTGTCACAAACATCATTGATGCAATGGCGTCTCTGACCTCCATGCAGCCACCTGTCATATGACCTGGCACACGTACCTTAACGCCAGACAGGGGATATTTTCTGCACACTTCACATATCAGCTTTCCTGGATTGTCTGCAGGTTCTTTGGTACTGCTGCTGGTTGATGATCTAGGTTTGTCAAATTTATGAACTAGGCCAGGAAATTCCTCAAACCAGGAGGCAGGCTATCGGGGCTCCTTTTCTTTTGAGCTCATATTTCTTCTTAGAATTGTTACAGTCATTTTTATCTCTGGACCAACTGAAATCTTCATCAAATCCATTTTTGTCATTATTTTTAGTAAGAGTAAACCCAAACTTTGTCAAAGACATGAGGGTAACATTCAAATTATACCAATGACAGAGCGATATACCCAGGTACCCACCATTGATTTTGCACCAGCGTGCGCCTCGAACTGCATAATGGGAAATATTGAGTCGGGAAAGACCGAACACTATTGGTCAGCTTCCTGCTGTCAACCAATGAAAACTCGCAAAAAAAATTTTGCGTTATGTAAGACATTTAAAGCTAAGATTGCTGTGATCGTACAAACTGAAAGTGAAGATTTGATTCACTATTTATGAAGATTTCACGATTGTATGAAATTAAATATCCGTTCTTTAACTTTATTTTGACACTTGCCCAAATGGACAAGCATTCAGGTGAGTGGACTTGCCAGACATCAATGTCTAATCCTTATTATCAAACCCTGTCCATGATTTCAAAATATTAAAGCATTGTGAATACTTGATAGAAAGTTTTAAAAAGTCAGGAATAGATATGCTGCATATTACCAATTTGAAATCTGTTTAAGGTTATTTTATGCATTTTGTTAGTATACATGTATCAATCGACCAACAAACCCAGGAAAATTTGTTTTATGCAATGTTTTTGAATTTTGAAGAGTTTACATGGCTAATTTGGTTCTCATCTGTCTTATCTCTTCTCTTTTTCTTTTCATCTTTATCTTAACCCTTGTTCTTTCTTCCACACCAGCTGCTTTGTACACCTACAAAAAATGTTAAAGAAAAGGTAAACAGAAGACTAAAAGTAAGGGTGAAAATGAATGCTTTTAGATGGACATATACAACACAGCAGCAGTGAGGTTCACAATAAGTTTTACCATATATGTGTCATCGTTTCTTTATTGAGAGCTTGTTAAGTTTGGAAAATAGAATCCTTTTTTGCCAATATTTCAACAGCAGCCTGCTGTCCTCTTCAAAGGGGAGAAGTTACTAGAAGTAGATTGAGGTGAGGCTGTGTAGTTTAACCTATACAGGTGTTATGAATCACCCTGGCATCAGTCTTCAGAAAAAAAAAAAAAGAAATATAACAATTACAATATGAAGTAATTTATTAGTACTCAAATTTACTTCAACTCTCACGAAGCAGCCATCCCTCCCCCTTCAACACGCTGATGATCCCAGTTGTTTGGAACGACTTGACAACCATTTCAGGGGTGATATAGTTCCATGCTGATGCCACCCATGCAACGATATCCTGTTTACTGGCCATTGGCAATTTCTCAAACTTACCCTTTGTTTCCATGGCTAACCGTTGCATGTGCTCTGTCCACATTTTCCTTAGGTGTACCTTGAACGGTCTATTCATGGACACGTCTAGGGGCTGGACCCTAGATGTACAGCCCCCAGGGATGACAGCCATGGTGGCATTGGCTTTGCATACCACTTCTCTCACTTTCTCTGTTGTGTGGGCAAAAAAAGCAACCAGGATCAGTAGGGCTGGCTGTCTGTCCATTTAGGGCCGTAGGATGTATTTGAGCCATTTGTTTGAGCTGGGTGTGGGAGGTTAATAGTGGGAGTCATCTGCAGATGTAGTGCAAATAAATGTGGGCTGTCACTCCTCCAACGAAACTTAAGGGTGGCTTGCAAATCCCTACGTGCCTTGTCATAGTTCATGACAGATATCCGTTGTTATGATTCGGTCAACTGACCTACTTT